AACACCATGGGCTGGAGTCCAAGACTTCATAAAAAGAACTCAAGCTGAGTATCAGTATTCATTGTTCCTTATTTTGTAGTGATGTGGTATGACCAGCTACCTGCCACCAAGTCTTCCCCACCATGATGGTCTATGTCCCCTTGAACTGTAAGCCAAAAGAAACTCTTCCTCCTATAAGTTGTTTTCGTCTGGTATTTGGTAAAAGCTTTGAGAAAAGTAACTAGTTAGGGAACATTTCTTTATATTGTTAATTGGCAATACTAATAATGCTAGTGGTAATAATAATAATAATGATATCATGGCCATAGAATTAAAGCACTTGAAGTTAAATGACACTCCATAGATGAAGCTTGGCACATTAAATTATGGTTTATCATGCATCTAAATGTAGTATATATGTGAAGATATTTCAAATTAGGAACTCATATGTCCATTCCTAATTTATATACCTATATACTTGACATTTTCAGGCCCTTGAGTTCAAAGTGAAAGGAAATTTTGATAGTAGACTACCTCAGCTCTGCAAATTACTATCAAAAAGTACCCTTGTTTTGGCTTTCATGTTCTGATGAAACTTGTTAATCATAACTACAGTATGGAAAACAACACAAATATCTAGTTTGAAAGATGCATATCATCACGTTTATATTCCCACAGAAAAGCATTATGCAAATAAATCAACAGCATGCAAATGGATGAATGGATGGAGTCTGTCTAGGAAACATTAGAATTCAGTGCTCTGTACCCAGTGGAACGGGGCTTAATTTCTTTGATGTGAATCTAGTTTTCTTTCCTCCTTTGCAACAGGTCTAGTTACCGATTTTGAAGGGTGAATAATTTAGTTCATCAACAACATCAAAAAATGTACTAGAAAATTCTGCCCAACTTTATTCACAAGTGTATACCTTTAAGAACAAACATGATTTCAAATATGTCATAGAGAAAGTCGACCAAATTTAAAGTGAATTTAAGATACTTTATTCTAGTGAAGGGCTTCTAATACTCTTATTTTTCATGGTCTATTTCCTTAAAGAAGCCCAGATTTGAACACTTTATGGAAGCTCTAACTGGTATGTTTCACGATGCAGTGCAGGACTGCCATCAACGCACCCTCGGTGGATGTTGCTTTCATTCTGCTTCAGGAGTGAAATTGCCGAGGATGGATGAATACGAGGCCCCACTTTCATCTGCATCCTCAAAGTACTGGAGACATTTCTGGGCATTCACTAAATAATACTGTTTCTTGGATTTCTGAATCAGCAGACTTATAAAAAAAAAAAAGACCACTTTCTGAAATTCAGGGATTGTCAAGATTGGCAGCTGATTACTGCTGGGTGAGGCTCGTTTCTTTAAGGCAGAGACTCCAGACAGACTGACTAGACCCCAGTGAATGAACTTGCACTGAGGGACATCTGGGTACACTGACTTGACTCAATAGGCCTTAACATATATGACAGAATGCATGAATTCTGGTGGGGGAGGGCTATGGTGTTCTGGATGGGAGGGTATACAGACGATTAAGATGTTTGGTATGAAATATGTAAAAATTCAATAAAACATACATTTAAAAACTCTTAAAACTTTTATTTTTGCCTAGAGAGATGGCTCAGCAGTTAAAAGCATTTGCTGTACTTGAAGAGGCCCAGGACTCACTTCCCAGCACCCACATGGTGGCTTACAAATGCCCATAACTTCAGTTCCAGGGGAATCCATCGCCCTCTTCTGGCCTCTGTGGGTACTGCAAGCATGTGGTATCCTTAGATACATGCAAGCAATACACTCATACGCCACACATAAAATGTAAAATAAATAAATAAATAAATAAATAAAAGAATTAAATTTTGTTGCATTCTATTACAACACACATTGACAGGGCTACCTGATGAGCAGAAAAATGTGTACATTCATGTAATACAAGCTCCATAAGTGAACACAACCAAAGAAGCTATGACGCGTTCAATAGCTTTGAGTTCTCACCCAAAGCAAACTCTCAACCTGTGGTCCGATCTGGCCCAAGAATGCTGATGGATTTATACAGAGCAGGAATCACACTCTGAACTGTAGCTTCTGTAAAGAGAGAAACTGCGAGATAAAGGTGTGGGCAGAAGACTGTGTCTCCAGTGGTGTTTAAAGAGAGACGCGAACAGCTCAACCAGAGGAAAACGTCTCTTCCACAGTCTCACCTTGACTACCTTTGTTTTTCTTTCCTTAATATTTTAGAATTATTATTATGATTTTTTAATTCTAAGTTGTTCTTTATCATTCCTTTTTTATGCTTACGGAAATTAGTCTCATACACAACAAAGGAAAAGAAACTGTTTTTGCTTTCTGATAATCAGTATACACTATTATTTCTTTCTTCTCCAATTTTTTGTTGAGTTTTTATGCATTTCTTATAATACATCTTAATCAAATTTAAACCCCTTCCTCTCTCCCCACCTCCTCATATTCCCCTCCCCACCGGATTTCAGGTATTCAGTCATATATGTTAAGTCCTATCCAGTCAAGCATTTGATTCCAGATGTTCCTTGATTCAAGTTCATCCACTGGAGTCTAGTCTGCCTACATAGAGTCACTCCCTTAAAGAAGATCTACTGTCCCTAACCCCATAGTAATCATTTGCCAATAACAGTTCCTTGGCTAGGCTTGGGGCCTGCTGCCCATTTCCCCTATTCTATGCTGGGATTTTGTCTGATTGACTTTGTTATGGGTCTTTTACATGCTGTCACTCTTGTTACAAGTTCATGAGCAAGTTCCCAGAGGCCTGAAAGCCTGTTTTCATATGTTGGTGCACCAACCCTGGCTCTTACAATCTTTCCACCCACTCTTCTACAATGGTCCCTGAGCCGTGGGTAGGTGAGGTTTAGTATAGGAACCCTATTCAGAGGCACAAACTCTACAGTCTCTTAATTTTATGTGTATGAATATATTGCCTGCGGTATATAAGTGCAACTATGTAGTGCAATGCCCACAGAAGTCAGAATGTTATGGACAGTTGTTAACCACCACGTGGGTGCTGGGAGTTGGACCCAGGTCCTCTGTAAGAGGAGCCAGTGCTCTTAACCAGTGAGTCATCTCTCCAGCCCCAACCTTAACTACCTTAACTATCATTTCAGGTTACCGTGTGTGATGTTTCCTGAGAGTTTTCCTCTCTTTTTCTTTGCCCATCAAACAATGAGGGATCCCCTGCAAAGGATGACTCATAAGAGCTAACATTTGTGGCACTTTTGCTGTGTGTCAGGACTGTGTTCTGGGCATGAGTGTCATGCTGAGTGCTTTCAAGTCTTACAGAACAAAGGGACCCATGGTTTTTCTAGGCTGTGCTCTTCAAAGAAGAAAAACAAGCAAACTGCACACAGGAGAGGGTAGGTGTTTATTTGAGAGACACACAGTGGCCATTCAGCGGTAAGAGAGCAGGTCCCCAATTCTGACTTTGTGGTGTCCACACTTGCTCTCTGGTCCCATGACAGTTCCTTAAGAAATGTGGTTGAGAGGACAGTCTTATCAGAATGGCCTTCCATTCCTTTTGTTTTATGTTTTAATATGTGTGACTTCAGTATGCTATCCTAAATGGTTTGACTTTGGAAAACGTGAAAAAAAATCATTGCTACACTCTTACTATTTGAAAGAAGTGGGAATCACAATAGTATAGTTTTTCTGTCGGTGCTGGGGCTGGAACCTCTGGATTTAGTCATGTTAGGTGAGCACTTTACTCCAGAGCTGTGGTGCCATGCTTGTAATACCAGCTTTTAACAAATCTTGCTAGTGGTTCCCAAATTAAAATTATTTTTGAGATTTATTAACTACCTTCACTTAAAAACCATTTTATTGATTCTTTGAGAAGTTCATGCAATGTATTTTAATCATTTTCAGACCCTCTCCCCTATCTCTACCCCTGCCTTCCTACTCCCATGCCCTTAGATTCATATCTTCTATTATTATTATTATTATTATTATTATTACTATTTGTTATTATTATTAATTATTGAGACAGGGTCTCCTTGTAGCTCCAGCTGACCTAGAACTCTATATGTAAACCACATTGGCCTCAATCTCACAGAAATCAGCCTGCCTCTGCCTCCAGGGTGCTGGGATTAAAGGTGTATGCCACCGCCTGTGGCCTATTTTTATTTTCAAATGGCCTATTTAGTCTAATTTGTGTTCTTCAAATGCTCTTGGGTATAGGTCCATGTCCTGGAGCCTAGTCAACCTACCTGGTGTCATTTTTTAAAGTTTTTTTTTTTTTTTAACTATTTTTTTGGGGAGAATTTTAAAAGCATGATTGAAAGTGTACTGGTGTTGTGAAGAGCCTGCAGAGGTCAGAAGAGGGTATTGGATCACTTGGAATGGGGGTTTCTGATGCCGTTAGCTGCCATGTGGGTGCTGGGATCCAAACCTGGGTCTTCTGCAAGAATAGTCAGTGCTCTTAACCACTGAACCAACTCTCCAGCCCCCGGTATATTATGTGTCTATGTGTATGAGGTGTGAGTATTATACACGCATGTATGCAAGTGTACTTGTGTTGTGCAGAGCCTGCAGAGGTCAGAAGAGGGTATTGGATCACTTGGAATGGGAGTTTCTGATGGCCGTTAGCTGCCATGTGGGTGCTGGGATCCGAACCTGGGTCTTCTGCAAGAATAGTCAGTGCTCTTAACCACTGAGCCAACTCTCCAGCCCCCGGTATCATTTTTAAGAACATGTTACGTATTGACTGAGGAGCTTGGACCGCCCTGCTGAAGGATAAGCCATTTAGTGGTGTTGTGAGTTCCATCATCTCTTTATATCAGATCTGATGTCTGCGGAGGCTTAAAAGGATGGATAGGAGATGTGACGTTGATGTCTGGGTTGCGATTTTGGGACCTGTATGCTATCACTCACAAATTTATCTTCTTTGCAATTTGTGAAAAATCTGAGCCTACCCAGGCTCATGTATCTAGTTTAGCAAAGAATCTTTTTCTAAAGCTGAAAACAGTTCACTTAGAACCCCAAGTTGTACTCACTAATGCATGCTGACAGGAACGGGCCGTCTCTCTTCCAGGGAAGAAGGCAGGTGCTGAAGTAATCCATAAAGGGAGCCAGAATTAACAATGGCAGGATGCTGATGGCATTCATTAGTGCAATTGGCAGAAGAAATCCACCCAAGTTCAGGTTGGAATTCATGGTCTGCAGATAATATCCTGAAGGAGCCTGCGTTCAAGGAAGGAAGAAGCCAGGCAATGAGACAGTGGTTTAACTTTCATGGGCTTAGTGGCACGTGCCTTTAATTTCAGCACTCAGGAAGCAGAGGTGGACAGATCTGTGAGATCCAGGCCAGCATGGTCTACACAGGGAGTTTCAGGCCAGCTGAGGATACAGGGAACCCGGAAAATTTGTCTCAAAAAATAAAGACAGTGGCTTAACTCTGAAGGAAGCGTGCTCTGTCAGATACCTATCCCCCTGCACATACTCCGTGACAGATGACCTGGATGCTTCCCAGGTTCTAAGATCTCAGCTATGAGCTGACATGACAAAGGATCTGTGACCCTAGAGGCTCTGTTTAGTTAGTTTGCATTGTTACTGATTCTTTATAGAACACTTTTTGTTATTTAGTTTATCTTTATCTTCTTTTGTGTTAGATAGGGTAGCCCTGGCTCACCTGAAACTTGCTGTATAGACCAGGCTGTATAGGCCTCAAAGAGATTTGTCTGCTTCTGCCTCTCAAGTGCTCTAATTAAAGATATCTGCCACCATGCCCAGTTAGTTTACTTTATAAAATTTACTTAATTTTTTTGATCTTTTTGAGACAGAGTAGCCCCAGCTGGCCTAGCACTCGCTGTGTAGACCAGCTGGCCTCAGTCTCACAGAGATCCGCCGGCTTTTGCCTCCCCTTGAGTGCTGGGACTAAAGGCTTGCGCCACCATGCCCAGCTTAGTTTACCTTCTTAACTTTCCCTTTTTTCCCTCTATGCTGCTTAGATCAGGCTAGAAACAGGGCTAACCCAGAGGGCTCACAAAAAGAGTTCACAGGTCATGTGTATCCCTATCAGTCCTATATTTCCTTAAATGATACTTAGTCTGGTGGCAAAATAGGATTTTTTTTTTTCTAAGAAGAAGGAGTGGGTAGGGACCCACATTGCTTGTTGTGGGCTGTCTTTGTGAGCTCCTTGGGTTGACCCTGTTTCTATATTCTGTGTTTGTGGCCTCCCTCCCCTTTAAAGTAATTTCCTGCTACTGTTATGATTTGAATGCAAAACATCCCCATAGGTTTTTGGATACCTGAGCCCCAGATGGTGGTGCTGCTTTGGAAGGTTACAAAACCTTCTGGAGATGGAGGAAGGGAGTTTGGTAGCCTGAGTCTACTTCCTGGCTGGGTCTGTGCATCTTGAGTGCAGATACAATGTTGGCTAGCTGTTCCTGTTTCCGTCTAATTGACTGTATCCCTTCTTAAACTGTGCGAAGAGAAGGCCAGTGAGTCCTTTCCTTGAGGAACTGGTTTCACAAAGTATTTTTCTTATGGTGCTAGAACCACACTGTGATTCCTACCTTCTCTTCGTCCTGGGAGAGCTGCCCTGCTCAAACGTCGAGATCATAACTTCTCATTTGAAGTCTTCACTGACCCTGTCTCTCTAATCAATTGTACAATTTGGGAGGTTATATGGAGTGTCAACAGAGTCAGCGGGGCTTGTTAACAAGCTCACCAAGTGCAAAATGCACCCCTTGCTATGTTGTCTGCCTGGACATGGGGCTGGACCACATTCTCATGGAGCCTCTTTCTATCTACATAAAACATGTCCTGGTGATTATCTTCCAGTCTTTAATGTGCTCCTTAGGATGCTAAACAAAGATTGCTTTGGTTGGGCATAGATGGCAAGAGTGAAGGACCCATTAGCCTGTCCTGCTTTACTTCAATAAAATGATGATGCGTGCATCCTCCAATCAGAGGGAAACAGATGAATGATGCACTTGAAAAAAGGCGTGCTGGCAGCCAAACAGCTCTAAGACTGAAGGGTCCCAGCGTCACTTTCAAGTTTCTGTTATTGATTTCAAACGAGAATTATTGTTAATAGAAATAAAGTTATTATCGGCATGAATCAGACACAGAAAACTGTTAGCTTAATAATGTGGCAAACGTACTTCAGTGAAGCAGTATTAATATATTGCTTAATCCAAGAAAAGGCCCCAGTGTCTGAAAGCTTGAAATCATTTCTGCTTCTGCCTCAAGTTCTGAAATCATCCCCTTTAAATTTTTAAATACTTTTATTTCACATGGGCTCTGAGTATTCAGAAATAATTGCTGTCAATAGAGATTCATTTTCACCTTCGAGTGGCCTGTAATGTCAAATGGAAACCTCATCAGCTTTAATATCAACATATTTTAAATGCATGTCTTGGATCTGAAGGTCAATAATGGCTACTAAATTTAAAATATGGAATTCTGAGGTGTTTTATTCCTGGCACTTTGATTGCCTTTGTACCGCTGATTATTTTATCTGGGGGCAAAATCGAGTCTCAGCCTATCTGGATGGAAGTTTCCTCTGCCAACTTAAGAAACGCGGTCTAACATTTTCTTTGAAGTTTCTAGTCCTCTATATAATTTTATATATAGTTTGCATCAAGGATATTTACTCGCATATAAGAGAGGCATTGTGGGTAATAAATAGGCTTTGATATCAACCTTGAGTTAGTGAGTTGAGGTGACCATTCTGCCATATGTTAGAAAGTTAGAAGTTACTTGATTTCTCTGGTCACTGGGGCCTTAGAGGTTTTTAATTAATTAATTAATTAAATCTTTAATTTATTTTTAAAGATAAGGTCTCACTGTGTAGCCAGGCTGACCTTGAACTTTCAGAACTCCCTCTGTCTCAGCCCTCCCTATTGCACTGGAATTATACATGTGTCTCAGATCTATGATAATCACAGTGGCTGTATAGGCTGTCTGTGAGCATTAAATCAGATATTCAGAAGTCAGAGTGGTGAGAGGGCTCTGTGAGTATGGCCACTTGCCACTGAGCCTGAGAACCCGAGTTTGCTCTGGAGAACCCACATGGCAGGAGAGAACTGACTTCTGTTCCTGCAAGTTGTCCTCTAATCTTCACACACATACCACAGCATGTGTACCCCCCAATAAATGAATACATGTAGATATTCAGAAGTCATCTTCAAGAAGCTGTGATAAATAATATGTGACCAAGAAATACTTGGGTTTGGGGCTGTAGAGATGGCTCAGTAGTTAAGAGCACTGGCTGCTCTTGCGGAAGACCCAGGTTCAATGCCCAGCACCCACATGGAGGCTAGCAATCTTCCATAGCTCCAGTTCCAGGGGAATCTGACACCCTCTTCTGACATCTTCAGGCACTGCACATACATGTAGGCAAAACATTCAAACATATAAAAAAATAATAAAATATTAAAAAAATACTTGGGTTTACTCTTTGGAACAAACCTGGCATCTAGTTTCTTAAAATTTAGCTTATTGGAGCTAGAGAAATGGCTCAGCAGTTAAGAGCACTTGCTGCTCTTGCAGAGGACCTGGGTTTAGTTCCCAACACCCACATGGCAGTTAAAAACCATTTGTGACTCCAGTTCCAGAGGATCCAACACCCTCTTCTGACCTCTGAGGGCACTGAACGACACAGGTGTACCTACACAAGGTACCCATGCTTCTGTAAGTAACCCTAACAAAACTCACTGGTTCATTAAAAAAATAAATGCATGGAAGTAAAAGGGCACTAGATGGAATGAGGCAAGGTGGGAGAGCGAACAAGAAAGGTGATGAGGTGTGACTAGGATCGAGATATATGCACGTATAAAAACAATTAGCTTATCGAAATGTATCATATTTATATTAAAGTAAAAACCATAACAAGCCAGGCATAGTAGTGCATGACTTTAATCCCTGCACTTGGAAGGCAGAGGCAGGTGAGTCTCTGTGAGATCAAGGCCAGCCTGGTCTACATAGTGAGTTCCAGGCCAGCTGGGACTACAGGGAGACCCTGTCTCAAAAAAAAAAAAACAAATAAACAAAACCCCCATATAACAGTTTATATATAGCAGTTTACAGCAAAGGCTCCCACTGCGTTGAAAGAAATACTGGTTGCCACTGCATTCGGAGGATAAGGAATTAGTAATTCGTGTTCTTTGCTTGGAAGGAATTGAGGCTACCACCACGTGGTAATTGGGTACTTGTAATTATTTTCTCAGTTCTAGGGTACTTTCCTATCCGTGCTCATGCAGGGGACAGCTTTTGCTGTGTCCTGTTTTGGTTCCTGCTGCTGTTTATAAAATCAGGAGGAAGGTGGAGCCTCCCAGTCCGCCTTGCCTCCATGTGTTCCTTAGACCAGGGGTCAGCAAACTTTTCTGTAGAGGAGCAGATGATAAAGACGCCCACATATGGGTTCCTTGGCAGCTACTCAATTCTGCTGTTTTCATACACGAGCAGTGATAGCACTAACAAACCGAGGAGCATGGCAGCATTCTGATAAAACTTTATTTATGGACATTGAAATTTAACCCAATTTTCATGTGCCACAAAACATTATTCATTTGACTTTTCCCAATGGCATAAAATGTTAAAACTATCATGGCTTGCATAGGGCTGAGAGATGACTCCAAGGATAAAGGCACTTACCACACAAACCTGACAACCTTGAGTCTGATCCCCAGAACCTACGTAGAAGTGGAAAAGTGAGAGTTGATTCCACAACTTTGTCCTCTGACCTCCACATGAACCTCATAGCATGTGTGTGCTCACTCCCACATCATGCACGTATACACACAATATTAATAAATAAAAATAAGTCATGGGCTGAATTTGGACTAGAGGCAATAGTTTGCCAGATGTATTAGTTACTTTTCTGTTGTTATGACAAAATACCATGACCCAAAGAAACTTAAGGAAGAGTTCATTTGGGTTGACAGTTCCAGAAGGACAGAGTTCATCATGACAGGGAAGATACGGCATGGTGGCAGGATCGAGAAGCTGGCTGATCACATTTCATCCACACACAGGAAGGAGGGACAGAGAGAGAGGGGAGAGGGAGAGGGGGATGGAGGGGAAAACAGGAAGCGTGGCCAGGCTATACAAACTGAAAGCCTGCCCCCAGTGATACACTTCCTCCAGCAAGACTCCACCTCCTTAAAGTTCCATAATTTCCCCCAAACAGCTCCACCAACTAGAAAGCAAGTGTTCAAATGCAGGAACCTATGGGAGACAGTTCTCGTTCAAAACTTCATACCAGGTTTCTAAGAGGTGAGGCCCCGCTACTGTCTTTCACTGCTGTTAACGGTGGCCTGCTGCCTTGCCTTCTCACTCACACCCATGTCAGGGAACTTTCCTGTGCTCCTTTGTTTTCTCTTTAACAAAGGAGGCTCTGGGTAAGCAGACTCTTAAGTTTTCTTCTAGCTCTACTGACCCATGAGTGACACCTACAGCTCATTAACCTTCTCGATTCCAAATTGGGGGCGGGTAGCAATCAAGAAAGTTCCAAGTTTGTTCAAAGAGTTTTATAATCCTATTTCTTCTCCATAAATAGCTTGGTCTTTGACCACAGTGATATTAATTCTTAAAAAATCACACATAGCTATAAGGGATACTTTAGGTTTTGTGCTTTCTCTTTGATTTCCTCCCAGGGTAAGGACTGATTCCCTGAGGTATAATATGTGAGTGGGAAGGGAATCACTTTCTCATTAGTGGAGGTAGAATTCAATCAGCTTGTTAGGGCTGCTTTCTAAAGGTTTAATGAGGGAGGAAGCCCAAACCTTCGGTTAAAGGGGGCTTTGGTGATTGCCTCCGAGTCTGGTATTGGCATGAAGTGCTCTGGTGTTTTATGACTATGTACTCTGAGATCCTGTCTATACTTTGGCCAGACATTGATAGCACTACAGAGATGCATCCACCCAGGGCCTCCTCATGGTAAGCTTCAGCTTAGTCCTGCTGAGCTCTTAAACTCAGGACCAGCAACTGCTTAGAAACTGGGACAAAGGCCCAATAAAGTATATGAAATTTGCTTGTTGCAGGGTTTGTGGTTAGAATGTGAAATGTCTCCTGTTCTTGGGGTTTGAATGAGAATGTCCCCCATAGGCTCCAAGTATTTGTGTATATCCAGTACATCCAAGTGAATCCAGTTTGTGACTCTGTTTTGGGAGGTTTAGGAGGTGTGGCTTAGCTGGAGGTTGCACGTCACTGGGGGTGGGCTTTAGCTTTGCCCATTTCTAGTTTCTGCTTCCTATGCCTGCTTGAAGATGTGAACACTTGGCTTTCTTCTTCTACTGTGCTGTCTTTGCTGCCATCCCTCCCGCCCCATGATGGACTCTCTGGACTCTCACCCTCTATAAGCCAAATAAACTCTTCCTTCTATAATTTGCTTTGGTCATGGTGTTTTATCACAGCAACAGAAAAATAACTGATACATCTCTGGACGGATGTGTTTGAACACTTGGTCTCCAGATGGTGGGAGTGTTTAGGAAGGTTGTGGGACCTTAAGGTGGTTGAGCCCCAGTAGAGGGTGTGGTTCACTGGGAGTGGCCTTTAAGGTTTCATACACCAGCCCCACTTCCTGTTCTCTGTTTACTTCTGTGTGTGTGTGTGTGCACATGTGCGTGAATATTTTTTTACGTATATGAGTGTATTGCCTGCATGTATATAACTGCATTATGTCAGGCAATGTTTGTGGAGATCAGAAGAGGGTGTCAGATCCCCTGGAACTGGAATTATGGATGGTTATTATCCACCACGTGGGTGCTGGGAATACAACACTGGTCTTCTGCAGGAGCAGCCTGTGTTCTAACTGCTGAGCCACCTCTCCAGCCTCTCTGTTTGGTGATAACCCCCAAATAAACCATTACTCCTTTAATTTTCTTTTGTGAGACATTTTGTCACAAGGGTGAGAAAAGTAATGAGTACAGCTGGAAAGAGATGCGTAATTCTACATCAGCATGCAGGCACCATGCTGTCCTGGTACGTGTTCATTGTCGTCTTACCTGCATGATGCACATTCTGTATATGAGCTGGAGACTGAAGACAGGGAAAAGGGTGGAGAAGACGCTCTTTGTGTCTTTCACCTGGAACTCACTGTAGTGGCCACTGCGGTCTAACCAGCTTGTCCCACCTCTGCCAAAATGACAGTATCGCAGGCAGCATGCTTTCAGCTCTTTAACAAACACTCTGAAGACTGTCAGGAGGAAGAGATCTGCAAACCATTGGAGATATTATGTATCAGTACAGGGATGGTGCTTCAGGGCCCCCACAGGTAAATCAGGAATTGAGCATCGCAAGGATGAAGGGTGGTAAAGTGGCTGAGGGTTTTGTACCCAAGGGGTTGGATTCAAAGGAACAAGCTCCTGACAAGGCTGGCATCCTGATGACCAGCCCAGGGTGGTGCCTGACAACTGATGTGAAAAAATGAAAAGGGAAGATCAATGGGAACACATTACAAAAGAAAGAAAGGTAACAAAATACCACCAAAGTAAAGGCTTTCTGAATCTCTTAGAAGTCTCTATGTTTAACTCATTAATGAATGAGAGAACTTGAACTTTTCTATCCTTTATATAGGAGCTGGTGCTATTTTTAAAATATAAATAATCCTCATTTTGCTTGGCAGGTAGAGGGTGGCTTTAAAAAAAAAATTACTCAGAGATGAAGGCAAAATGTATTCTTTGCTTTGACTTCATCCTTGAATTTCAGACACAAGATTAAACTTTGAACTCTTTAAACGATTTTATGAATGTTGACAGTGCTACTGAAAGTTTGACTAGATTCGTTGACTTTTCCAGTAGCTTCCTCTGGGCTGATATGGAGGACAGTTAGCATCAGAAATATTTCATTGCCTCAGACAGTAGCAGTCCTCTGTTCCATGTTGTTTGCACCTCATGGTTGCTTTATTCATGATCTTCCAGATTGAATTTTTTTTTTATTTGTCTCTGTTGGGACTTCCTGCTTACAGTGACAGGGAAGACACGTCCATCAGTGAGCAGTTCAGGGGTGCCATCTCCACTGTGGTGTTTTTCATAGCAATTTCTTTGACCAGACAAATCCGTCTTCCAATTACACAGACATCAAATCTTGGTTGCAGGATGATGGTTTAATATATATGAAAACATTTGAGTTTTCCTCAATTACCATAGGTGCTCAAAATAGTTTGATTGTCATTTTATGGCGTTCAAGTTTCCCATAAGGAGATGCTGAAGTGCATTCTAACCAAATTCATTTAAATGCTATAAAGTATTGGTTATTATATTTAAAAAAGGAATACTAATAAATATTTCTTTTTATAATCGTAAATGTGACTATATTGATTTGATCTGATCTTTTCTTCAAGACTCCTAATAGGCACATAATGTCAGCCTTTGATTAATTGAGGAAGCTAGGGGCCTGGTAATTGAATATGGAGCCTTTCACCTCTAGGTCACTGAATCAAATCCATTCCAAACTGGTAGTGACCAAGAATGATTACAGCTTTAGCTCCCTGGTGGCCTCTTGGAAGTGTGTTTAGGTCATGTGGAAGTGTGTCTGGATAGTTATCCAGACTCCTGACGGGAGATAGGCTCAGATCCACAGTTGTCACCTCGTCCCTGTCACTGTTTCCAAATGCAAAGGAAAGCCCAGGGATTGGTGAAGCCAAGGGGACTGGCCAGACTTGTGTCGATTAGAAGAGAATGAGGAAAGCACTTCTCTATTACGAGACAGTCCCATTTCAATCACGTTACTTAAGGTTTAAGTAAAATGAGAGCTGAGTGTGCATTGTTGAAGTCTGCAGATTGAGTGTGAGAAGGCCTGGGCAAGGTGGCTTAACTTCTAGACATTTTCTTACAACCTTGCCTGTGTTGCTGATCAACCTGCTCTCTACTTAATTCATGCAAAAACAGTGCTGTGTGGAGAACAGGGTTATGATTTGCAATGCTCCAAATGAGTGTAGGTTTTTAGATAGGCTTTGTTATTAGATGATAATTATTGGTAGGAGACAAGTCATTTTCTAAAGGTATGTTCTTCCTTTTTCTCTCAAGTTTATAAATTCAAGGATATATA